TGGTGTTAATATAAAATGTATTTATAAATTATATTTGTAAAAACATAAATAATTTACAAACTTAAATTATTATTTCATATCTAGAGAGAAAGTATTTTAAAGTTATTTTCGGTGTTTCAGCAGAATTGGATAGATACAAATAGAGGTCTATAACTTCTCCAGTTTCTCTAATCAAGTTGATACCTTATCTGATTGTTTGGCTACACTGGTTATCATTTTGCAAACAATTTACTGGGTTCCATGTGTTGTTTTTCAGGTATTTAGTAGAACTGGGTTGCATCAAACCACTCTGTGACCTTCTTACAGTAATGGACTCAAAGATTGTGCAAGTAGCACTGAATGGGCTGGAGAACATCCTGAGACTTGGAGAGCAGGAATCCAAACGCAGTGGCACTGGCATTAATCCTTACTGTGCTCTTATTGAAGAAGCGTATGGTATGAGCAAAACATCTGTGGAAGTCAGGGGTTAAAACAATGATCATGAACCCATTAGAGTTTCAGTAGACCAAATTCTATTAATTTCCTCGTCACTGTTACCTAAAAATTAACTGTTGAACTGACAAGTCTCCATTTACCAACGTACTCCATGTTTTACATTAGCTTTGTCTGCAGGTAGATTGGAGACAGTGTGTCTTTTCTTAATTTCTTTCCACACTGAGGGAGCCTTCTGGCTCAGTATCTTCCCTCCACAGCAGATAAAAGTTCAGGTGCACTGCTTTGTAGCTCAGATTTCAAAACTTTGCCTTCCCTGTCTGCTGCCCTGTAGAATGATGGCAGCAGCAGCAACTTTCTTGTTTGCCTTTACTGTGCTGAGGTTTTGGCATCATTTCATCCCAGTTCTGAGGTACTGCTGCTCTTGAGGTGGGTTTCCTTGTCAATTGGCAAGTACTTATTAAGAAAAATAGAATTGGGTTATCAAGAGCAACATAGAAGAGGGACAGTAGCAGTGAACATGGTTTCTTGAACCATGGTTCCCTTCATGGTTGCCTTGACTTCCAGGGAAGAGTTATATCAGAATAGCATTTGTTCTTGCTTGGTTCTAGGTTTGAACTTCCCTTTTCATGTCAGTGGTGCAGAAATGTCTATAAAGCATCAGAGAATTGCTTCCTTTAGTCTTCATACATATTAAAAGGAGCAGACAAGAAAGCCACTACAATTCCCAATATTAGAGACTTACTAGAGTGTCTAAGACTTGGATTTCATTCTAGCATCATTCTTAGGTATCAAAGATAGTTTAGCTTGCTGTATCGCTTCCTTTGTTTCTGACTACAAGGCCGGAGTTTGCCCATCTGCTTAATATCTGCCCAAAAGCTGGTTGTATGAGTTTTAACTGCATTGTGTATACATGATACACATTAGGTAATGGAGTGTCTCTGTCTTTGGAAGCTTTGAAGACTTGGCTAGAAACAGCTGACATAATCTGGTGTTGGTAACAGTGCTGAGCTGGGCTGCAGCTTGAACTAGATAATTACCAAAAGTCTCTTCGAACTTGCAGTGATGTGATTTTGTAGTCATGGTCCTTGTAAAAAAAGCACTCTTTGAGGAAACATGGTCCTAAAGGTCTCTTCAGAAGAAGTCTTTGAGGCCTTGTTCTTTACACATTCAAGCTTGTTGATTTTATTTTTTGAGCGAGAGGGTAGAGGCAGACAGAAGGTATGAAACACATCACACAGTTACAGGGAACTCTGTAGTTCAGCCTGTTTTTCCTTTGGTGGGGAGACTACAAGTTGGGTAACAGACTTGTTCTTTCTGAAGGTGGGAGAGAATTGTTACGGAACTTGATGTTCACAGCGGACTGAAAATGATCATGGTCATATGCTTTCACCGAGCTGTAACTTTTACGTACTTCTTTTCTCTGCAGGCCTGGACAAGATTGAATTCCTGCAGAGCCATGAGAATCAAGAGATTTATCAGAAGGCCTTTGATCTGATCGAGCACTACTTTGGAACAGAGGATGAAGACAGCAGCATTGCCCCACAGGTGGATCTCAACCAGCAACAGTACATCTTCCAGCAGTGTGAGGCTCCCATGGAAGGCTTCCAGCTCTGAGGTGCCCCTGTGCTGTGTGCTCCTCTACCTAGCCAATCCTGTTGTCGAGCCACAAGCCACCCATGGAGTGATTCTCTTAATGTTTTCCATAACCCTGTTTGCGCTCATTCGCTTGCCTTGTGCACATGCTCTTACATACATCTGGAAAACTTTTGGCTCTCCGTGGCAGGATGCCCCCTCCTTGGCAAGGGGTCACCAGAATCACCCTTCTCCTCTAGATTCTGAACCTCTCCACTGCCGTCTTCGTGGAGTTGAGGCACCTTTCTATACTTTGAGATATTCCCTGCTCCTATTACAGGAAAATGATCCCTCCTCCACTAGCCCCCACACTCCCGGCATCCAAGATAAGGCTGCCTTTCTGATGTATTTGGTGCAGTGCGTGCCTGCAGTCCAGGGAGACATTCAGACTTTCTGAGAACATAGCTGAATTCATTCCCCATATTCTTCCCTGGATGCCTCTTTGGATGGCTGTGTGAGATGTGTTAAATCTTCACATACAATGTATCTCTTTTGCTGTATGTGCCAGCTGGGGTTATTGGCATATAGAACATGTTACAAATAATGGAATAAGTTCTCTATCCCCTGCAACAACAGGCTGCAATGGACATGTTTTTTGGTTCTTAAGAATACTGAACACATCTGGCCCCATCCCTTCTCAACACTGAGTTCCCAAGCTGGATTGCAGACCACTGTGGAGATTTGTATTCCTTCCCAGTCTTTCCTCTCCATCCACAAAAAAAGGGCCTGTGAACAGGTCACTCTTACCACCTCCTCAGAAATGACTTTCCAAACCAGCTTCTAGAATGGAGAAACTACCCCCACTTCTGCTTGCCAGCACAGTATGATCCAGCCGGGCCTTCCTTAAAAATCAAGCCTTTCCTGACTTCATGTTCCAGAGTCTGGTCCTTGGTATTATGGTTATGGCTGAAAAATTCCTGTCTGCCTCTTTACATTTTTACACAGCGTGACTTGAACAGATTTCTCATCTGAAAAATTACCTTCTGAGTACAGAAATCTTAATTTGTAAAACTTAGCACAAGGAGCATTAGATCTCCTTTTCATTTTCACAAGACAAGAGCTTCTTCTCCAGCTCACCTGATAAAATAGAGACCTCCTGGTCAAGCCCCTTATTTAACAACTACAATGACACTACATTCAAAGGATAGTAATCTTACACTCGGATCCTCCTGGCCCTTTCATTTCATTTTTTTTCCTTTTACTGTTTACGGGACTTCAGGTGAATTAGCATGGAACGCATGGTTCCTACAGGTGACATCTATAAGGCATCGCTGACTGCATGACAGCTGTCATCTGCAGCTGTAGACTGCCCTTCTGCTAGCAGCATGTTCTTGGCTCCGCAACCTGCTTGGATCACAGACGTGATGCGAAGGCCAGCCACTCCTCACTGAGTTCAGCTGACATTGACACCAAACTCTTCACACAACTGGGGAGATGCCACGTGATTGAAAGTGGCAGTTCCATTTCTGTAAATGCAATGGATTCTCCAGGCCGTCCGCTCCCCACCTGCATCGTATGTTCTTTCAAACCATTTTGGACGCTTGGAACACACATTTGTCCAGTGTAAACATTTCAAAATTGCCACTGACCACTGCAGTGTCATGTACCTGTGGTAAATGTTAGTGGCAGAACTGTCTGCAAGATCCTCCTTATGACTCCTCTCAGTGACAAGCCACTGCAAAAGCAAAACCAGCCCATTGGATACAGCATAATAAAAATATATAAATCACTTGTCAAACTGCTGAAAGAAGCTAGGCAAAGGCCTGAACATCAGCTCTGTGTGACCGTTATTTAAATATAGTCTTCAGTTCTGTCTGTGCTTCAGGATGGAGACTCTGACCTGTGTGGCCACTGCAGAAGCCACCTGCTGCCTCCCTAGCTAAGCCAGTTGGCCTCCACCTTCCCTCTCCCAGTTATTTTCTCTAGTGCTGCTTTGTGCTGAAGGAACATTTAGTTTACTGCACTTGATCTGTAAATGGACTTCGATTCTTTGTAATTTTAGGGGGTTAAATTTGGTGGTTAATTTAAAAAAAGCAAAAAACCCCTCAATGTTGCCTTTACATCACATATAAATAACTGTGTTTCTCTTTTCTTGAAGGGTGATAGAAGCACTGATTAGTAGCAAAATCTTGTTTTAGCTTTTGGATTTTTTTGTGCTGGATTTTTTTACGTGTAAATTTCCAATAACATGTCATTTCTATAAGATTTGTTTAAAATCATGTACCTCTTATTGGATGGTATAAAAATGCTACATATTTTGTAAACAAATCTGAGCAAAGTGTGTGTGCATATATTCTGTATATTCATATATGTATATTCTGTGTATATATACACTAGTGTGTATATATACATATATACACACACACGTATATATACACACACATAGATATGTGTGTGTATATATACATATCTATATATCTATATATCTATATATATATAAGTGTTTTCTCTTCCAGGCTAGTGAAAACAATGTGGTGCATTGGCGTTTCCCTCCCCTGCCCCCCAAGAAAATAATGACAATTGCCTCTAAATGAGTGAATTAAAAAAGAGTCCATTTAAGCTGAATGGTGTGCCTTCCTGTGTAAGGAGCCTGGCCAGTGTTTGTTACTTTTGCCGTGGATATGTGAATTCAGAGCAGATAAGTATAAATCTTTAAATTTGGTATGTTTGTTTGAAGTGACAGGCCTGGTTGACACAGGTAGTATTGTTGTCATATATACTTGGACTGTGTAAGGCATTTGACTGATACTGCGTAATATTTTGACTGAAAACTAAAACAATACAAAAATCAACATGGCACACATTAAATGGATTAAAATGTGGCTAACTCATAGGTCTCAATTTAATTTTAAATGGTGCTTAATTGAGTGTATTTCCATCAGGATCTTCCTTCCAGCAACCAGTTCTTGTCTTTGCTTTACTTAGCCTTATTAATAGGTTGAAAAGAAACAAAATCTACTTCTAACAAAGGCTGCAAATTATACGAGTACGGAAGGGAAATCAGACTTGTGAATTACGAAAGGAATGGCTCACTGATACAGACTGATCAGAATTACTTGGTAAGCCAAGGGCAAGTGAACTATTTGCATTTTAATAGAGCAAGATGTCTAGTGCAACGTTACCCATCTAATAAATAACATTCAGGCCACAGGCAAAGGACTCTGTTTTGGAGGAAAAGGGCCACTGAAAGAGTATGAGGATCATTATATGTTATCGCTTGAACGCTACTTCCTAACATGATTCTGTGTGGCTCATGTAATGCTCACAGGTACAAAAAGAAACTGGCATTGATGAAACTCTTTTTTTACAGGAACACTCTCAATGTTGCTATCAGCAGTTAAAAAGGGACGCTAAAAAATTTGGAACAGCAACAACTGTAAAAAGATTGCAAGTTCCATTGAGACGAGAAACGAAGCACTTTTTTTTTTTTCTTTTTTTTTTTTTTTTTTTATTAGACTGACATGGGAGTAACAAGACTTATGTCCCTTGCTGGAAACACTGAAACCAGTATTCTCTGCTTTCCTGCAGGATGTGCTGCTGCTCAAACAGGAACTATCTCAGAGAACACCTCTAGCTTCCACTTTTGTGAAGGTCACACTGTGTTCTTGTTCTGCGTGTGAGTAGGAGGCAGCGTGGTCTCATGTGCAGAGCATAGGCCAGGGAGCTGTTGGGGTTCTTGGGTTCTTCTCTTAGCTGTGCCATGCAGTGTGTAGTGCCAGAAAAGTGATCTCACATATTTTTTAATTCCCTTATCCTGAAAATTTAAATTACTGCATTTGTTTCTGTCTGCTTGTGGGGATCCAGTCTAAACACCTTCCAAAAGCCCCAAAAGCTGGTGAAGTGAAAAGATTAATGAGAACCAGGAATCTCTTGAGTTCTACTTGCAGCATCAGTAATGAGGTGAAACTACTGCAGTAAGGTTTTAACAATGTCTAATTTTAAACTGGGCATTAGAGAAAGGAAGATGCCGGACTACCAGGAATTGTTATCCGACTGTCCTGTCCACAGACCTGTAATGCCTTTTAAGCGTTGCGTATTTGTTGAGGCAGCAAACGGGAGCTATCATTCTTCTGTTGGTAAAGTTCCCAGTGGAACATGGCAGGCAGGGTCACTCTCTGTCGGATTCAGGAGGATGCAACAGATGATGGGGCAGAAAGTTACTGGAAGCTCAGTAAGCCAGGACCAGTGCTTTGCGCTCCTGGGAAGATAGCACACACGCAAACAATCATTTGAGGCAACTGCTGCCTAGAGACTTCAGCCAGTTCTTAAATTCCTGTGTTGGTTCCTTGATGCCAACCAACTACTGATGGTCAAAGTCCCTTCACTTAGTCTTAAGGGAAGGGAGGAAGGCACTAACCCCCGAAAACCTACATGTTCTTGAACCTGCATTTCTGTAACTCTCGGCACTGAGACTATTAAGAACCAAATCCCACCACCCAGTCCTAAATGTGACAACGCTCCTGGTGATGCACCTCTGTGCTTCCCCGAGGATTTTCCACAACAGCTATCTTACCTCTGTGCGAGCTTTAAGTAATGCCCCGTGTCTTCCTGTATGATTTCTTTGCTTCTGGGATTGGCACAACACATCATTAGTACTTTCCCATGCCAGTTTTTGCCAGTAGACATGAAGATCTTTCTTCAGGCGCCTGAGTCTTAGAGGAAAATAAACAGGACCTCTTTATGTACTGCTACAGCCACATCCATGGGGCTCCTGCATGCTCTTTTGAGGCAGTGTTAAAGTTGTCAGATTGATTGTTGTATTGGGAAGCATCTGTTGCTTCTGGAACAGGTACAGCAATACGGCATATGGTATAGGATTGATAATTTGACTTTTTTTCAATAAACATGAATGGTGTTGCAGACCAAGCCAAAGGGGAGAAAGAAAAATGAAAACTGTTCTAAGGGCTTAGTATGTTCTTCTCCATCAGGTGCTGCTGAAAGTGTGCAGGCTAAAGCTATGAACTAATCAGGTGATACAAGGTGTATTAAATTCTCCAGTCAGCTAGACTGGCTGCTTAGGCCAGAGACGTGCTGGTTTTTAACCATTGTCTGTGTTTAGAAGTGCTTTCTTGGAAGCCATCATGCTAGGAAAGAGGTGGTTTCTTTCACTGCCTCCCTGAGAAATATTGGTATCATTTTTCTAGTATGCAACTACTTGCAAATGTTTGGGAGCGAGCTGGAGACAGCACAAAGCCCAAGGGCTCAGGCTCTTATTTGAGGCTCTGGAACCAAAATAGAAGTTGAAAGAAAACACAAAATGTGCACAGTGATGCATGGGTTTTATGGTAGATCCTGAAATGGTGGAGGTACCAAGGTGATAGAAGGAAGGACTTCTGCATGGAGCTCCTGTCAAACCACTGGACCAGAGTTCAATTTTTGAGTAAACTCAAAAAAATTATATAAATTTAAGTAAAATGAAAAACTGGTGACCACAGCTTCACTGGCATGTTGCTTTCTAAGTGTTAATTTACAGATTTTTATTTGAAATGCTTTACCAGCTGAATGAGTCCAAGTAGTTTTATTTCCAAAACTAGATGAGGTACCTGCCAGTTCTATTCAGAGAGTGTACTTGGAGGTGCTTATTGAAAGGGGAGTATCTTTGAGAAATGCACATTTTTAAGCTCTGCCATCACAAAGTATAAATCAAATCATGAGTTTCTCTTCATAGTAACCTGAAATACTGTCTGAAGTGCACATCATTGTCCTTTTTTTTGTCTCATTTAATACATAAATGAGCACAGGCACACAATCTGGGAATGTTTTTTGGTTCCCACCTGTATGCTTACTAGTGTGGCAGAGAACCACAGCGGTCATGTTCACATACCTGCAGTAGTGGAATTAAGTGTGACTTACGTTCACTGCTGAATGAGCAGACAAATCTGTGGCAGCCTGCTCTGTTTGACAGCATACATGTGATAATTGCCTTACAGAAAATCTGATAACAGGTCATGGTGTCATATGAAGTTTATAGCTTCAGTGGTGAAATGACTGCACGGTTTGTTTGATGGGTTGCATCTCATCAATACAAGTGGTACTCAGAAACGCAATTCATAAAAAGGTGGACTGCACGAGTTATTTTCTGGCTCTAGAGGAAAGAACAAAGTACTAGAGAACACTGCACTAGATACCTTATTGCTTCTCTTTTCTAGGTATAAAGAGAAGATTTACCCTGCATTTTTTAGTAGGGCTTCTAATTTTTTTCAGCAATCACGCTGCTTTTTAGTAGTATAAGAAAAATAATCAGGAAAAGGTTAAAAAAAAATAATTAAAAATTCTGCCTCCTACTATGAGGAAGTTCACAATCTGTCAAACACAGCACCTCTTCTGTTTGTGGTGTCCCCAGTGGCCAGTTAGCAGAGAGTCCTGGGAAGTAGCAGAGTTTGAAACAGTCCTGACAGTCCCACTCTACATTTCCTTCCAAACGAACTGAGAGGAGGAGGAAAAATACTGGTCTCCAGTTGCTACAGGCTGTTCAGCATGAGCGGTATGTGACCCTTCCGGGATGAATGCCAGAAATAGGACTGTTGGGAGTTGCTCTTTGCAAGTATGACTGGGTCTGCTGCTTCTAAAACTTGAGGCAGACAATCTTTAAGTGAGCTAGTATCAGGAAAGCAGAGATGACAGTTTAAAGGGGCAAAAATGAAAATCCAAATGTGGTTTGGAAAAAGTTGGAATGCCTGATTGACTGCCATACTCATGTGCTTCTAAATAGTAAATCTGATAGCACAGGTTGAAGTTTTTGCTCAGTGTTCCTCAAAATACTCGTCTCTGTTCCCTTGGTTTGGACATTCTCACATCTCACCACCGGCTCTGGTGTAAAAACCATTAGGCTACTGTCTGCAACACACTGGTTCTCTGGAGTGCCGTTTCACTATTGCTCCCCCTTCTGTTTTTATCAAAGGCAGGCAGTTTTTCACAAAAAGTAATCCTTCACAAATGCAGCCAGAATATATTAGACCTCAAACAGGTAAGCAGACTTTCTAATAACTTATGATCATTTTGATGATATTAATGCAGGTCATATGATTATTCCTGACACAAGGACTGCCCTAATAATTATTGTCTCTTACAGAAAGAGGAACACATGGAATATTTTAGGCAGCCTGTAACAATACAGAATACATATAGCACTGTTCTTCCTGAAAGGACCTGGAATAGTCAGTGATAGCAGACTGCTGCCCAGCACAGGTATTTTGTTTGTACAGGTATGGATGTACAAGTGGAAACCCAATGGGCTGTCCTTTTGTGTCCCAGTTATCTTCTTATATGTGGCAAGAGCGAACATAAGACTTTGTAAAGGAGATTGGTACCACAAATGAAGGTACAGCTCCTGCAGCCTTTTAAAAGATGCCTAGTCTTGTGCATAGCACAAGAGAAACAACTGTTCTGTCTATACAGTTTGCTCACTTGTCCTGTTTAACTAACTGTGAAGACGACAGTTTGGAGGAAAGGAGAGGTTGTTAGGAAAAGAAAATAGGTATTTCTGGTTTTAATGATTACAGGATAATGTATTCATTCTTAAACGTGAGAGTACAGAACTAAAATACAGGAAAGATGTGACTATATCCTCCTTCCAGTGCTGAAAAGGATGTCAGCTTTTCTTCCCCAGTCCTTGGTCTCTTCGTTTCCTCCTCTAAGGTTTAGCAGATGTACTCTGCATAGCTTCCTCTCTCCATTGAGCTTTCTTCTCCAAGTTCATGCTTGTAAGAGATTCGTGCCTTTTTATAGCCTACAACACAATGACAAAGCAAGAGCAGAAAGTATCACCTCAGGGACCACACAGATGAAACTTGAATCAGTAGTTTACAAAACAGCTGGCCTATCCCTACCAAGGCACAGTTGTGTCACCTTTAATGCCAGGAAGGGAGAGGGTTAAAATAAAACATCCATAGACTATTTTGGCTTAAACTCTTTACTTCTCTGGGAATAAAACCTTTTTGTTGAGGCACTAGCTGGTCAGTATTTAAGACTAATCTCTGGTCTTCAGAAGTACTGGAAAGAAATCAGAAGTTAAACATAATAGATTCCAGCTGCCGTGAAAACAAGGGTCCCAAAGCAGCTGTCCTCTTCTCTGGCATTTGCATTCATACTACTCCAATGTAAGAGGAAAATGCTCTGGGAATTGTGTTTGATCTCTTCTGCTAAAGCCAGGGAAAAACCTTTTCACTGTTTCATTTCAGAGTGCTGCATCCTTTTCATTTTGATAGGGGAATGCTGACAAGTAGAAATGTCACTTGACCCTTCAGTAGTTCACAGTGCTGGGGTCGAGACTCAGTTACTAGTTTTAAGGTTTCTCTAGATCACTTAGGAGTCTATAGAAACAAGATCTGACTATTGTCATTGGAAGCATTGCTTCAGAGAAAGGCAGCATACAAATAAGGTTCTGCCACGTAGATGCTTTAGGCTCAGGGTTTGCTGCTTCCAGTCATCCTTAATGTAGTAGACTCTGTTTGTTACCACTGTTTTTTATCAAAAGCAACATGACGATAAGCTGCACAGATTATATTCCTTGACTTTGAGACTAATGCTGCTGAGGGGCTTTAGCCTGGCTTCAGTACACAAAAAAGCGCTCCTTGCTTCTTTACAGAAATGCCACAAAGTTAATAGTTCACCAACTGTGTTAAAAAACACATAAAATTAAGGCATGAGTAACCTTTGCTGCACTTGGAATCTTAAACTTTACATTTCCTCACTTCATATGATGCAAATTAAATCATAGACTGAGTTCTGCCATGTGCTGAACTTCTTTGATATCTTGCCAAATTCTATGCAAGTGAAGGACACTCACCATCTACGGGACTTGGGAGCTTTTCCATGAAATAGTTTTTTGATTCAGCAAACAATAATAATTTGAGAAAAGTTGGTCCATTCACCTAAAGGAAGGCTATTTTCTAATGCAATTAAAGGGCGCAGAATTATTACTGACCCCACTGTTTAAAAAGACTTTGAGAATTCTCAAGTCTGTGGAGAAACATACCCATTTGTGATTTCCATGATCTTGATTCTACAAATGTTGCAGCATGTAGAGAGAGGCAGTGAACCCCATCGGCCCAAGGAGCATTCACCTGCCTACCAGATCCTCACAACAGAAGGTACTCCTTCCTTTCAAACTCTCGCAGTCCATCAGCAAAATTCAAGAGTTAAAACAGCACAAACTAAAATTAAGTATTGCACTGAGAAAAAAAAAGACTTTTTTCCTTTTAAAGGATGCATATGCAGTCTAACAGTGACATCACCCTTTTCTGACTTGGAAATTAATCAATGCGGGTCACTTCTGGGGAACCAGGAGGACTTCTTTTTAATTTTTGCTCAGTGATAAAGTGAAAAAAACACCACCACCAAAAAACCAAACCTAAACAGTACTAACAATCCATAGGAGGAACTAAGGATTTTACGTGAAGATTGATTTGCACTCACCAGCCAAAAATCTGTGCTTACCTGCTTCCCTTTAATCACCATGACTATGCATCCCAATATTGTCAAGGCAATCATGACATAGCTGAACTTCACACGCAGCGTGGTCTTTGCTGCTCTGATTGTTTCAATCCTCAAGAAATAAAAGAACAGACTCATTATCAGAGACCCAGATAAACCATTTGGCTAATCGTTTGATTTCTCCTGGCATGCTATCTTTGTAATCTGGTATAATGCTAACCATAGCCGGCTCTTTTCACAAAAAAGTTTTACAAGAATGGGAAAGGCTGATCCCCAGCTACCTTGGGAGGAACTTGGTCACAAAGGAGTTCCTCTCAAAGTTGGAAGCAAACCCAGTACTTTTAACTTTGGGTTACAATGCTGCCTTTCTAGACCACTTGACCACAATGCAGAGGAGGAAAGCTACAGTACATAAATATGTACGTTCACTATGGGGAGAAGAGAAAAAGGAAAGGGATATATTTACTAATAATCCCCTCCTAGAGGATTTGATAGTGCTATAGATTACACACTAGCTGCTGAATGTAGTACTTCTCAGAAATTCTGAGTAGCATTTGGTAAAAGACCAATGGTTACCACTTCCCTCCTGCTAGAGTAAATAGCCTTAAGGTAATAAATTTTCCTAAGAAACTAAGGAGGCACAGGCACTTGTATGCTTTCCAACATCAGCGTGGACAGAGTTCTCTTTTAATTTTTTTTTTATTATTATTTTTTTTTACTTCAGGGGGCTTATCTAGCCACACCAGTAGCTATACCACTCCTCTGGGAAATCTATTGCCTAGTCTACTGTTACCTTTAAAAAACCAGAAATCTTCCACAAGGAGAGTATCACTTATTGAAGCCTTCCAGCTGTATGTGTGATGAGTCAAAACAAAAAGTTGGGATTAACTCTGAAGATCATTCTACCCAAATTACATTTCAGTTACAGCAAATTTAAAGTTCCTATTAGAGATACCAATGCAAGAAGGGCCAATGAAGCATAAAGCTTTTACACGTATTTTCCACAATAACCAAAGACCTATACTCAATATATTTAACTCTCCTTGCCGAATTTAGAGCACTTGACTCCCCTTCTCAAGAAGGCCTAATAGCCTCACTGAGTAAATCTGGCACGTTATAAAATTACAGATGACTAGGAGAGTATCAACATCATGTGATGAAAGAATAAGTGCATCAAACTAAGTAATTACACCCTAAAACTAACATGGATAGTAGATTTAATGGAACTGGGAAGTTACTGGTGTAGACAAACATGAGTGAATATGGAATCTTTTTGCCACATTTTGACCCTTATACTTGGAAGAAAAAAAAAGATACCGAAGGATCCACGATAGTTCAACATGATGAATCACATAAGACCTGAGAACTGAAGAGTTCTGTTGTTTTTGAGGAGGAGGGCAAAAGGGATTTGATCACTGTTCTGGAGTATTGATCCAAGTACAAGATTTCTGGTCATAGGGAATATGTCCATCTACCATGAAACTAACAGTTAAGTTTAGCTTCCAGGTTATTTGTTTTTGCTAATAATCTGTGATGAACAACTTGGGTGCAGGCTGCAATTAAGCTGAAATGCACAGAAGTAGGTTTTAAAAACTTTATTACTTAATTTTTGAAGTACCTTGGATGTGTTAGCATATACAAGAGGAAAAGGTAGTTATCTGAACACAATTTGCATTTTAAATCAATTCAGTGGCTAAGATTAATGTTTGCTTAATAAATTAGTTACTTCTGATCACCACATCTTGTGAGATTAGAATTATATATCACAAGCCCTTACAACCCACTCTTAATTCAGCTTAGAACAAGAAAACAAGTTTTTGTGCTTTTATAGTTCTCAATCGCCTTCTCAGCTTTAGCTGAACAATTTGCCTAAATAAAACCAAGAATTCCCTATGCACTTGCAAAAATGGTCAGCTTTTATCAGAAGTTGGTTTGTCCTTTCAATAAACAATTGAAATTACTTCAATCACTCTGTTAACTTTGTTTTCTTAAAAATGCTTATAACAAGTGTTTGATATGCAAAAATATATGAACTGACATAATTTAGTAGGTTTTAATAATTTATACCTTTATGTGTTTCAAATGTAATTTTAAGAAAAATGTTTCAATACAAAATTGAAGAATTCATTTTTAACAGAATTTATCCATTGAGATACATTTAGAAAAAACTTAAGATACATGGGTGGATTTTCAACTCCTATACTGTGCGTCCAAACAAATAGAATATCTTTAGAGGGCAGCTACATAGTTTGCTTACTCAAGTAGTACAAGATTTACTCTATCTTTTTAATTTAAATACATACATACATTTAAAAGCATTGCAAGCACATTTTAAAAGATAATTATACTACCACCAGGAATGTGTTTCAAACTAATAATTGCCTGTTGTTAAGTTTGATCTTCATTTTAGACAGGCAAACCAGAACATCCGGTTATATTTTCTTCTCTTCACACAGGGCAAAGCACCAACGTTTGGACTCCACCAGAAACAGGGAAATTTTGATTATATACATTTTTTGTTAGGGAGCCTTTCCAATGTTTTTTAGTTTAAATTCCAGGAGTAAAGAAAGTTGGCCCATGCCCTCTAGACATTAATTAAAAAATATTTCAAATGAGTTTCAGTTATTTTATAGCTATATCATGAAAGTTTCACACAATGGAAGACTGATGTATTAAGGAAAAGCACTAGAAAAAGCTCACACTAATATCTGCAAAAAGTTTTTTTGATTGGGAGAGAAGAGTAAAAATGAACTGATTTGTGATGTTTTTCTAATGAAAAAACTGATAGATGCTGGTCATCCCTTCAGAAAAAAAAAAGGGATGTATTATCTCAGCAATACAGAATTGCTCAGGTCATCTCATCTACAAGACAATACACCGAACACAGCAGTGTAAGATTTTTCAGCTGTGAAAACCTGTTCCCTTAAAGAAAAGTTATTCTGGAGTTGCATTCTAGCAACTTATTCCTGCGTAGACAGTGTCTCTTTTACAGCTTCAAAACTGGCACTTACGAGACAGTCTCTGGTATATCCTCTGGTTTTTTGAAATGGCCTGCCCACAACAAAAATCTTTTCTCCCAGTCTGTAGGCTTGTGTCCAGGCACCCTCAAAGGAGACCGACCTAAAAAAAACCCCAACAAAACACACAAACAAAACCCCCCAAAAAACACCAAAAACAACAGTTACAGAAGCTGTAATGAAACCACTTAGGGTGAGCAATGTAGAATTTTAGGTATGATTGCTAGAATTGGTTAGGGAACAAAAAATGTATCAGTCAGATTAACAAACCTGTAATTATGGATTAAACTGAGGCTGTGTAAGGAAAGTCAAATCTTGCCCGAGACCTCTATATTTGTAGCTCTAAATTTGTGGAACCTGCTCCAGCATCTAAGGTTCCTAAACTGCTGTGAGATGATAGTTTTCCTATTACATTTAAATTAGTTTAAAAAAAAAAAAAAAAGGAAATGGAACTGCTACAGAAAAGCCAATGTGCTGCACCATTGCATCACAGAATGTTAACTTTTCCAGGGAGCGTAAGATTTTACTTTATCTGGAAGGATAAACAAACATGACCATAGGCAAAGATCAGTCCCCTAATTTTCAGCTTAGCCTTTCAAACTCCATA